GGATTTGTGGAGAATCAGTTCGTTGTAAAATACACGACGATCGGAGTTTTGAACTTTTATTGAAACAGTAATTTAAGAACAGCAGTGGTACGTAGAAGTGATGAAGTTAAAAACCAGTCCCCTCCCTTTGGGGTTAGGCTTATATGTCTTCGAGATGGACGTGTTTTACAGTGAGCTTTCAAGCATCGGAAACAAAGCGGAACTGTGGTACAAGCATAAGATTGAATAGGAAGATTGACATGGGAAACTAAGGGTTTAAGCAGAAGAATGGAAATTAGATAAGATAACAACTAACGTGTAAAAAAGGGGCAATTTAAGGAATGTAGACATGTCGGAAATGATTTATGGTTTCATCCACATTAAGATACAATGACAAAGAAATTTATCTCACTATTTGTTTGAGGTTTCGTTTTCACGACAGATATTCAATATAACATTTCAAACCGTTGTATGTTTTTTTCATATTTTTATAAATATACAAAATTATTGTATGTTTCTCACACACTTAGTAAGTAGTGTTAGTCGATGACAACGAGGTTTGATGGACGACAAAGTTGTTTAAATCTATCTTGAAAAAATGAGGTCAAGAAGATCGTTAGAATTCAAACTATTATTCCTGAAAAAAAGAAGGGAGATAATTAAGATAAGATCATTTAGTCATATTCATGGTGTATTCTCTTCTGATAACGAAATGTACCGTACTCAACCTTGCACCACGCCTACCTGTCTCACTCACTCAACCTTGCACCATACCTATCTGTCTCACTCACTCAACCTTGCACCGTACCTACCTGTCTCACTCACTCAACCTTGCACCGTACCTACCTATTCTTATTCCTGCAGTATGATGAAGTTAAATAAATTGTATTGTAGTAGCTGAATAAAAAATAGAAATGAAACCAAAAAAAATGTTTCAATACAATACTAATTACGATTTATGACACGATAACAAAACAATTAATATAAAAATGAACACAATAATAATCAAGGGAAAGAATCCAACACAGATATTGTTGATCTCTGCAAATTGAAAATGAAATGAGGGACTAATTTTTGAATTTTATAGTGAGTGTGCAGGAAACGAAATTCAATCAGCAAATAAAACGATATAGCATATAACTGGGAATATTTCGTAATGCACACTAACAAAGAACGCTTAAAATATTTTTGTCTTCAGGGAATTTGAGAATTTTTAGAAAAAATTCTAAAGCTACGATCGCATAAAAAAGCAAATGGGATTGAGAGTGGTTAATTAGACATCAGAGCAGATGGTTAATTATTTTATAAACTATAGTATTCACCATCTCAACTAATGCTAAAAGCTAAAAGATTGTTACTTGAAAAATTATAAAAATTACTCCTAAATAATTCAACTAACGATTGAATTGAAAAATCTTCAGCATATCAATTTCAATCTACTCAAAAATGAGGAAATAATGCTGTAACAACTGTGGTAATTGAATTGCCAACTTTTAAAACATTCATTTTTTCTCTTTTTTTAATAACACCGATCACAATGTTACCCGCAACCTCCACACCCACCGCAACCACCACAACCACCGCAACCACCACAACCACCGCAACCACCACATGCACTACAGGCACCTATAAATTATTAAAATATTGAATATCGTCAATATATTATCAAACTCCCTTACAATATCTTAGAAATTTTGGAATTTTTTGTCATTTGAAATGAGAGAATAATTCATAATGTAAACAGGAATGAAAGGATAGTTTCTTTGAAAAATATTGATTATTTACTTGGAAATCATGTATTGGAAATCAGTATAAACAATTTTACAAATGTATAAATACCGAAAATAAAATAAAAATGAATTTTAAGGAACTACAAATATTAATATTCCTAGTATGACACAGGAACAAAAAATTTGAAGGGATTTTTAAACGAACCACAAGCATCACACGCTCCACAAACACCGTCATCGCAACTTCCTGCACAAACAGCAATCATTGCAGCAGTCATATCCAAATCTTCATTAATCTCCTGATGTGAATTCATATGCCTATTGGTTGGTAAGGCTTTGCCGTAACCGCATGCTACTGTCAAAGGCCATTTATGACATTGATGTGCAATGCTGTTTGTATCACTGTGTGAACGAACCTAAAATATAATTCATTTAAAAAACTCATACATCTCGCTGATTAACATTTCCTGCCAGCTTTTCGTCTAATTGCTGTCTGCTTCTAATCACTAATCATTCATCACGTATTTCAATTCTCTCATTCTTTTCTCTTCACTTATCATTGCTGATCACATGATGTCGATTTAATTGATGTTTAACGAAATAAATCTAACAAGTAAGAAATGTTACACTTTCACTTGTTGAATCATTTGCATCTTCATCAATGCAGTAACATAACAAATGCTTTTTAGCTTATCTCATGCCAATCAATCCGTCAAATTCAGAAGAAAGTTTAAAAAAATAAAACTTAAAAAAAAGGCTTTTACGAATAATTAAAAATAGTTGCCTTATCAGGATTGCAAAGTACGAATAAAGTTGCAACGCTGAAAACACAAGCGAGATGTTCGGCAATTTGAATTGATCGACACTGTATTCTTTTGCTTGGTAGACGTGCTTGTGCTTCTGAAATAATTCAATTCGGTAAGCATGTAAATATGTTCTCATTAGCTTCTACTACTTCGTGGAACTATTTCACAATGAATTGACGTAACAATAAGTGTTATCAAATATCAAAGTTTAATTTATTTAATTTATTTAACCTTACGCTTTCATATCTTATCAAAATTGAAATATGATGCGCAAATCTCAGTATAATATATTAGGTTAATATAATATATTTATTACTCTCATAATAATTTAAAAATGTGATTCTAATAATTTAAAAAGAAAATTAAACCGTTTTGCTTTGTTCAGAGAATATTCAAAATTATCTCATACCTCCTATGACGAAGAATGTGCTTCCTTCAGGACCCGGGATTTCGAACTTTTGTACTGTATTTTTTAACAAGTTGAATGCATCTACCTTCAAATAACTTACTGTGAAATGCGAAGGGGAAATTTGAATAAGAGAATTTGCAATTTAAGCGTTCATTTTTCTTCTCTCTTCCTTTATCTCTTCCTTTACAAAAAAAGTTTTAACATACCTGCAATTTTTTTTCCAGGGTTTCCAGCTTCTCTCTTTCTTTACAAAACAAAACTTTAATATACCTGCAATTTTCCGGGATTTCCAGGTTTTGCTTTCTGTTCTTTGTCACC